CCGTGCCAGGTCGCCCCAGGCCAGCCAGACCGGTGCCCGGGGGGGACACCAACTTGGTAAGTTGTTGCCTGGGTGTTTGCCTAGTTGTCACGAGGTGCCACGTGTCGCAATTTCACTGGAGGGCCAAATCTGCCCTCATCAATAACCAATCCTTTATTAACGACAGATAAGACTGACATGAAAACCACAACAAAAACAACCACCATAAGCAACATTCCTACCCTTCCTACCAATGAATTTGAAGATCCGAGGAGGAAACTTTTCCTTCTCTCTTTATCTAGGCAAGAGCATATTCCAGGTCTTGTGTAGTGTGACAAGTGTAGTTTGAATAGGCAACACAACATTGTTCTGCATTGTTGTTATAGCGATCCATAACTCCCTGTACATAGACCTAATGACCCTTTAGTCATTGTCCTTCTAGATTCGTAGGTTTCCCTTTCATTTCCCATTCTTCCTTTAAATCTTTCTCATTCAAAATTCTCCAAATCTTTTTCTGCACAAAATTGGTTAAAAAACTATTAAACCATAACCAAATAAAGATCCAACTGAAGAAACCATAACCATAGTAATCCCCAATGCAGACCAACTTATGCGAGTATCCCTCTTGCTTCACTTGATGAGAGTCTTCCTCTCGCAAATGCGAGTTTTTCCTTTGTTACAGCACATTTTTCATAGACATGGTGGCGTTTTTTTTTGTCAATCGATTGTTGTATTTTTCCATTGGTTTCTCCATGCATGGATTGGATACAATGGCTCGTCTTTGTTTTGAGAAGTGGTTCTTCCTCTACGAATTGTTCTTCAATGGCTTTAATTTTGAAAAAGTTGAAGATGTTGCTGTTACTAACATGGGTCTATACGATGACTTGTTCTAAGAAGATATATGTGGATGCTTTTATTGATGACATTATTTTTGGGAGTATCTTCTTCCATGGGATGCATTCTGGTGTGGTGTATTTCAGTGAGTTGTTCTTCGGTGAGGAGGAACATTCTTTGTTTTGGCATAAATTTTTCCAATGCAGCCCAATCGTTTCCGTCCAGTCTCCAACATTGTCCAACCTTTCAGTTATCGAAGGATCCCCTTTTGGCACTTTTTTAGGACCACCATCACTTAGTGGGGATGTGACACTTATGGATGATTTTAAACTTTGGAAAGGATTGCCTTTTTCTTGCCTCATGCCTAGGGATGGTTTGCTAACTATTTTAATAAAACTTTCCTTTGGGGTGGAGTTTACATTTGCAAGATGTCTGTTATGTCCAAGCCTGGGTGAGGTAATGGTTGGCATTCTCCATTTCACCTATCAAGTCTGAAGTTTTTAATTGCGATTGCCATGGAAAGGGGTGACTTTGAGAGGCCAGTCCTCCTTTATTGGCATTTCCATTTTTTTTTGTCTACTATTACTGATTGTACTCTCATGGATTATATTTGGGATTCTGAGCATTCTTAATGAAATTAGCCTTTGCCTTAAAAAAAAAAAAACTTGTGGATTTCGCTAAATCTCACATACCAATGTAGTGTAGTCCTATAAATCCAACTTAACATCGAAACTCTTGGCACATTGTCCATCAACTAACCTCTGGCACAATTGCAAAATCTTCCTCATTCTAAATTTAAATATATGAACTATGAATTTCATTGGAAAACGCTATCAAATCCAACTTTCTTGCAACAACATTATGAGAAAACAGATCAATATATACATACATAGAAGTATAAAACAGAACTAATCTTCCACTCGATAAAACAGATCTAATTCACTAATAAATCAAACTACAACAACCATCAAGTCGTAAACATCATCATGTGGTATAAATAACTGAAAGACTTCTAATAATAAGGATTAAATTGGACGTTTTGAGAGTTCAGGTAATACATTGGCACATTTTAAAAATCGGGTACTAAAGTGAGATTAGACCCAAATTACATGGTATTAATATACAAATTTTAATATAAATAAAATGATTTTTTATTAAATAAAAAAGAAAAATCTTTTTTATTTATTTTTTTAATTTCTGGCCGGTCTCGGTCTCGGTCTCGGGCCCGGGCGCCGGTAAGTGATGTCAAATCTGTTCTTTCTTCAAAATTTTCATTTTTCATTTTTCCCATTTACCTTGAATTTTTACAATAGTTTACCATTTTACTTGGACGGCTTTGAACCAGTCCGGCTCCCGGTTGATTGTCGAGGATGCACGTCGATTGATCCACGAACCGCGATGAACGGTATCCATTCTCAGATCAGATGAACCATAGAACTCTTTTGGTACTAGACTCTATAATCTACGGCTCTACGCAAACCATCTCGAGCCGAGCCGAGTTAAGCCAAGCCTTGTCAAGCCTCATTTTGCTATATTCATGATTAATGATAAATGAGAAGGTAATTAACAATTTAACATATCTCGATCTCCAGAAAAAACACAGGACTGGTAAAAACTAGAAGGCGTGAACTAAACCCTACCTTCCTCCTCCTTCTCCTCCTGTCTCTCTCTGCCACCCGACCGCCTCACCTTCGGGCTCCGGCAACAAGTGTCCACCGCCTCCCCGTCGGTGGCGACCAACTATCACTTATTTTATTCGCTGTTACCTTCCTCTGCGTTTCTCTTCAGGAGGACGTAAACGATTTTCTTAGCCATTTCTCTTTTCAGCTCCGCCAGGTAGTTCGATCCAGAACATAAAGAGGAGATAAAAGAGAAAACTTCAGACATTTCAGGGTTTCTACAAAATGTTCCGTGCCTTTCTGATTATAAATGCAGTGTAGAAGAAGAAGGGGAGGATTGAGAACGTATACGGCTGTTTGAATTTCCGCAAACGTGTCATCTTGAAATTCTACTCTGTGTTAGGTATAGTGTTCTGCTAAGGAGAAGCGAGAAAGGAAGGAGAAACGTGCAGGAGCGACCTCAACAGACGACAGGAGTGGAGGTTACAAGTGGAGTCCTCTCTCTGTTTTTCTGTCCTCTTCTCTTCACAGTCGAGCAAAACCCTAGGAGGATGATGAAACTCTAGCGTAATCTAACTGTTGCCCTTGGAATCGAACTGAGATACATACCAGGTACAATACTTATTGCTCTTCTCTCTCTCTCTCACAGTAGAATCTGAATTCGGGGGGGGGGGTGCTCTCTGACGGTCTCCATTGTTTCAACCAGGAGTCTGACTGCTCTATTAGACTTCCCTCCTCTTTCGTTCTCCCTCCTCTCATCTTTACATCTTGGTTAATCACTTCTGACCACATTTTAGAGTGTGTTCAGTTCTGTATAATCTGGATCTCTTAGCCTCTTATATTGAAAGAGAAAGTTTTTTTTTTCATCGAAGTTGTGGCAGCTAAAACAATTGATTAGAGAGATATATGATAGTTTAGCTGATCTTTCGAGTACCATGAACCTGAAATCATTTCCAATGGTCAGGTTTGATTCAGTAGTCGTTACAAAATTTTACTGCAGGTTCATGTAACAATGTATCAGAACCCATATAGTTGGGATTGGTCATCGTTAAGTTGGGTTGAGTTTATTACCCATCTACATTCGGCAACATTAAATCCTTGACCATAAAATTCTGTGAATTCACCATTAAATCCGCTCTGTGGTTACTAATTAAATTGCTTTAAAATTCCCTGTCAACATTGACGAAGAAGCAATCTTACCTGCATATATTTTCAGTTATTGCTTTCTATCTAATGGTCTAGGAAATAAACGTGGGCAAAATACTTTACCAAGGTTTTGTTGGGATGGGAACCACCTAAAGGTTCTAGGGAAAAAACAGTGCCACTTGGTATTGTCAATGCCCACTAGGGTACCTTTTTTTTTGGGTAAAATCACTATGTTACTGAAATTATCGCAAGGTCTGGTTGTATTCCCAGACACGAGGATATGATTTTGAAATTTAATGGGGATGGAATTGTAAGAGTAACATTATAGCATAAATAGCTCCTTGGAGGAGTTTCAAAGTAAATGCTGCTAGTTGTGTCCTGAACATGCTTAACACCAATCCTGTTCAACTGGTGCGATGTAAATTATCTCATTAGTTCTTCATGGACCTTTACTGTCCTTTTTCATTATGAATTTACAAATTGTGGAAGAAAGCTGAAATGCCACCATTGAGGAGGACATTACTTTGTGGAGTGTAGATAGAAAGCCTCCATGTTCCAGCTTATTGAGTTTCTACTTACCAAAATAGAAAGGTGTTGAAATAAAAGATCTGTAAAATAAAAGAATATTTCTTGAAAAAGAAGAGAAGAAAGGAGAAAAGGAAGAGAAGAGATTTGAGAGAGAAAAGAGAGCAATAATGCTGGCCGCCCTCTTCACTGTTATTTATAGTTTGAAATAATAAAGAGTACAAAGACAAATATGCCCTTATAGGGTGGCTAACACATAAAACAGCATAAAACAATTAAAATAACTGCTTAAAAAGGACCTAACAAGAGTGTCGTGGTCCCCACTTCCTATCTAAACAATAAATAATAAAAAACTACCACTATAGACTACACGATTTGTCTAAAACCTCAAAACTCCCCCTCAAGTTGGGAGTAAATGTCACACATTCCTAACTTGCGTAGATTGTATTCAAGCTTATTCTTTGCAACCCCTTTGTTAAAAACATCAACCAATTGTATTCAAAGGAGACATAAGGCAAGCAAACTTCTCCTATGAAGTGCCTATCAACCTCAATGTGTTTAATCCTGTCATGCTGAATTGGATTGTAGGCAATATTGATTGTAGCTTGGCTGTCACAATATCATGGGCTTCTTAGCTTTTATTTCAATCTCACTCAGTAGAGATCTCATTCAAAATAGTTCTGAAACACCATGAGCCATAGATCTATATTCAGCCTCTGCACTTGATCTAGCCACAACTTACTGTTTTTTACTTTTCCATGAGACCAAGTTTCCACCCACAAAGGTGGTGCATACCCTTGATGTAGATCTCTTGTCATCTAAGCAACCTGCCCAATATGCATTTGTGTAGGGCTCCACCTTTAAATTTTCATGGTTTGAGAAAAGAATCCCTCTGCCAGGATGCAAGTATTCTCTTAATGGCTTCCCAGTGCTGAACCTGAGGAGCATGTATATACTAGCTCACAACACTAACAACATAGGAGATGTCCGGACGTGTCATACATAAATAGAGTAGTCGACTTACCATCCTTTGATATCTTCCCACATCCTTAACCAACTCACCATCCAAAGCATTAATTCTATAATTTGGGTCAATAGGAGTATCAACTGGTTTAGTTCCTAGCTTCCTAGTCTCTTGCAATAGGTCTAACACATACTTCCTCTGAGAGATGAAAATCCCATATTTGGATCTTGCAACCTCAATCCCCAAAAAGTATTTCAATTCATTTAGATCCTTGATCTCAAACTCTTGCTGTAGTGGCTTCTTGAGTGCATCACTCTCTTTCAGATCATTTCTCGTAACAACTATATCATCTACATATACAATCAATACTAACAAGAGTGCATCTCTCCTTTTTGCAAAGAGAGTATGGTCGGATTGAGTCTGTGTGTACCCAAAATGGGTAAGTGCTCATTTGAACCTATCAAATCATGCCCTAGGTGACTGTTTCAAGCCATATAGTGACTTCTTCAACTTGCGAACTTTTCCTTTGCCAACATTCTCATAAAAACCATCTGGAATGTCCATATATACCTCATCTTACAGATCACCATTAAGGAAAGCATTTTTAACATCAAGCTGGAATAGAGACCATGAATAGGTAGTTGCTAGGGACAAGAGAATCCGAACTAAGCTCATCTTAGCAACTGGTGCAAAAATATCCAAGTAATCAATACCATAGGTCTCTGTATGCCCTTTTGCAACCAACTTTGCCTTGTACTTCTTTATGCTGCCATCAGCCCTGAACTTCACAGTGGATACCCATCTGTATCCGACTATCTCCTTGTATGTAGGAAGATCAACTATTTTCCATGTCTGATTTTTAACCAAGGCTTCCTTTTCTTTTTGCATAACTAGTTTCTACTCAGGTTTGGAGAGAGCCTCATTGACACTCCTGGGAATAGACACATAATCCGAGGAAGAAAAGAAAGCATGGTAGGAGGGTGATAAGGCACTATAGGAGAGATGGTGTGAAATGCAATGGGTTGTACACTTTCTCTTCCATTTGCGGAGTGCAATGGGAAGATCAAGATCAGAGGGATCAACTGCCACAACAGTGTTAGGTACAGAAACATTATTATTGGGGGAAATAATAGGCTTAGGCTGAAGAGAAATACCTGGAACTGTATTAGTCAAACTTGGATTCTCAGATGGACTAATGGAGAGTGGTGCAGGTTCTTCTATCTGAGCATGTGTGGAGTCAACCCTCTTTTGGTGGTGCTGATAGACTTGTGAGGCTGGTCATAGTGGATCGGGCAGTGGGACTGTAGTTGCTGATGGTGGAATAAGTGTATCAGATGAAGGGACAGATGACACCGAAAGAGGGACAAGTTGTGAATTCTCCTCCCCAAATCACTCCCTCTGAGGAGAACCGCTCAAGAAATGAAAGAAGACTCAAAAAGGTAAGCATCCATAGTAACAAACCTGCTCCCCGACACTAGATTGTAACAACAATACCCCTTTTGGTTTTGAGCATACCTAAGGAAAACACATTTCTTGGCCTTAGGATCCAATTTCTTGCGATGAGGATCAAGAATGTGAACAAATGAGACACACCCAAAAACTCTTAAAGGTATATGAAATATCTCCCCGTTGGGAAAAAGCAATTGAAAGGTGCCTTAAACCCCAAAGTGCGTGAAGGAGCACGGTTAATCAAATACACGGTTGTGACAATTACATCCCCCAAAAAACAAATAGGAATTGAGGCACACACCATAAGGTTCCTTGCCACTTCCATAATATGTCTATTTTTCCTCTCTGCTACCCCATTTTGTTGCGGTGTGTATGCACAACTACTATGATGAATCATACCATGCTCCAAAAAGTATGAGAACAAGTCATTCTCAAAGTATTCTCTAGCATTTTCTGATTTATAGACTTTAGTCCTCACTCCAAATTGTGTGAAAACCATCTTGTAGAACTGTCGCACCAAAATGGGTATTTCATCACATGATCTCATAAGATATATCCAAGAATGCCGTGTATGATCATCCACAAACAAAAGAAAATAACGCTAACCACCCATGGAAGAAATGTGGTAAGGACCCCATAAGTATGGACAATATCAAAAGCAAAGGAACTTCTTTTATTACTTTGTTTAAAAGAATGTCTACAATGCTTTCCCAACTGACAACTTTCACATTCCAAACTAGACAACTGAACATACTCAAACAACTTTGGAAACAAGAATCTCAATGAAATGAAAGATGACCCGAACGATTATGCTAGAGCATAATATCTGATTCACTGACTCTGATGTCTGATCCACTACTATTGCTGCTATTAACATGATGGCTCTGATGTCTTGGAATCTCATCTAGAAGGTAGACTCCATTCACCTCATGACCACTCTTAATCGTCCTCTTTGATTCTAGATCCTGCAAAATACAATTACTAGGAAGAAAGGTCACTAAACAGTTCAGATTTTTTATCAGAGGGCTTACTGAAAGAAGATTAGTGTGGAGTTTAGGGACATGTAAGGCAAAGGATAAAGTGATGTCATTAGGCACTCTAAATGTCCCTTTCCTAGCAATGGGAATGTGAGAACTATCTACTGTAGAGACTCTATCTCTACCAGAGCACAATTGGTAAGAACTAAAGAGGGTAGATATATTGGTCATGTGCTCAGATGATCCTGAGTTTATATTCTAGGGAGGTCCCTCTTTACCTAAGGTGGATACATGATTTGCAACTGCATAAGAACTACTTGTATGAGCAACGGAAGTAGTATGGTTGGCTCTTGCATTGTCCTGCCCATCTGAAGAACTAGAAATCCACTCCGGTTCGCTTACTTCGCTTGCTCACCAAAGCTCCGAGAACTCCCTATTTGCTAATGTTGTTCATTCATTCATTCCAATAAAATATTTTCTTGAAAGGCAATTAAAGTTATAAAATCATTATTTTTCATGTGATAAATAAGAATTTCAAACCCTAACATAGACTTGTTTGGGCTTGCCTCGAGGGGCGTGGTACTCAAAAAAAAGGCAAAAAGCGCAAAATTTTAGAAAGGCGCATGCCTGGGCTGAGGCGCAAGGTGCATCAGGTGCACTAGGTGTGCGCCTAGGACCTAGGCGAGGTGCATACCCCAAAATGCGCCTTGCCTGTGCACCTAGGCGCGCCTTTTTAAATCACTGGCCAGCCCTTTGTATGATGAGTTATATCAGCATTTTGAACGCTTCATTCCTTTTTTCTTAAAAGTTCTTGCATTTGTTTCTTCTTATAACTCTATAGAACTGTTGTTCTAGTATAATGCACATGATCTATTTATTTTCTTGTACTAAGGGCAATAACTGATCTGAAAAACAGGTTAATGATATTTGATAGAGATGTCCAAGAAATTCCGAAGAGAAGAAAGTGGTTCCATATCTGAGAAGCATATTGACAGTATGACTTGCACAGGAGAAGGTGATGAATATTCTCCCCACTTGTTGGGAAAATAACACACACATGAGATCAAGTTTTCCATGATCTTTCTAGCATTTCTTTTGTGTTTATTATCTCTAAAGTGGTGTTCCAACAAAATGCTTTAACTTCTGGAGGTGAGGGGCTGTTCCATATGGCAATAGAAGGGAAAGCTTGAGATGGTGAAATTGATGTGTTGTCACTGTTGTGTTTTGAAGAAGGATGCACATGAGTACATATTCCCCACTAGAGCTGAACAAGGCATCCCTGAGATAACTTAAAAGATCCAAGACTTAACTCAATATTGATTCTGGAGAAAGAGAGGCTCAAGGGTTGGTTACCCCACCATATTTTTTCCCAAAATTTCATCCTTGATCCCACAATGGGTCATATTAAATGCAATGCATAAACAACAGGTGAGTTGCTACAATGGCTTCCCATGGGCATTGAAGGGGGGGAAGGATAGCTAGAGCAGAACCCAATCCATTAGCATTTAAGCCATACTTGGTTCTTGATTACCAAATGCTGTAGGGAGTTGAATTCAATGGGAAATTTCTATAACTGCTCGCCCAACAGAGTAGTATTCTTGTCCCCTATCCTTCTCAAATCCAAGTGTTTTCTGGATCTACATACTGGACTCCTATTAAATAGGCAGACTTGTAATATTTTGGTTCTCTGACAAGTCTCAATTTTCTTTTCAATTCTTCTTACTACCCTCATGGGGGCTTTGAAGACTGAGAGAAAATATATAAGGAGATCGGAGAAGGTGGACGTTATGAGTTATTCTTTCCCACAAAAAAGAGAGGTAGTTTTTTCTTTCAGGCCTCCAATTTCTTAGTAATTGTCTTCACCACCACATCCCACGTAAATGCCTATGTATTTAACTGGCAAGGACCTAACTTTACAGCCTAAAATTGTTGCACTTCTCTCCAGGTCTCTTTCATCTGAATTAATCACTATGAAATTGCACATTGAGAGATTGATGTTCAGAAAAGGGATTTTAATGAGACTAGACCAAAAAGTTATTGTGTGAAATTTCAAGATATGATCAAGCAGTGTATTCTTATGAAATCCTAGTTGACTAGGAATTTTTTTGATAATTTAGTTGACTAGGAATTTGCTTTTTGTATATTTGCTCTTTTTTACTCTCTTCTTTTAATCATCCAAAATGTAGGTAGTGATTTGCATCATTTTGGCTGAGTATTATGCATATAATGCATTACTGAAAGCACATCTTTGAGCATCTATCTTGTGTCAGGAATCTTTTCATCATTAATACATTTGCTTGCTTTCCTCCACCTTAGTGCTTCAGTGGTGTTGTTTGTTGCAGAATGATCTTTCCTGAATTTTATTAATCGCTGTTTTATTATGTTTTCTTTTTGCCAATATACAGATCCTTCATGATATAAGTATTTGCAAGGTTAACCATGGCCTCAAAAGGTCCTAGATCCAGGCTTGATCATGATACAAGAGCCAGGCGTCAAAAGGTTAGTTTGTGAAAGTTCTTATATAGTTATGTTTTTTTTTTTTTTTTCCTCTCCCTTTGGAAATGATTGTTCTGCTTTTCTTTGCTTTGTATGTTTGGTGTTTTTTGGCCTCTTACTGGAGCCTTTTTCATTGTCTTACCTTTGTATTTGATCATTTTACTCTTATCACCCTTTGGTTGATAAAGTTTTGTTTAGTGGAAACTAAAATAAAATGTTTTCATTGCCGCAAACTCCCTTTTACACTAAGGTCTAAGTTGTTGGCACTCTTTCCAGAAGTCAAATGCTCATTTTCCCATCAGTTAACCAACTTAAGTCCAGGATGTTCCATGTGGATAATTGACAATGATCTTCTTTCTATCCAAACCACCAGTAGAGCAGTATAGCAAGGCATCCAGAAGATGAAGATCCAAACCTCATTTTTTTGCAAGGTATCTCCCTGAAATTTGTTAATGGATCCCGATTCAGGTTCTGGTTAGATACCTAGTATGGAAGTAGTAATTCTAGCTGAATTATACAAAATTGGCCTCTACAACCTAGCCATCAAAAAAGGAAGCTAGAGTTGCTGATATGTTTTCTTTGGCTGGCCCTAATGGAGTTTGGGCTCCCAAATTTAGAAGGGACCTTTTTGATTGGGAGATTGAGAGGTTGTCAGAGATGCTTAGCCTTCTCCAGCAATTTCATCCTGCTAATTATTTGGAAGGCTGCGGAACATGGAAGTAGGATAGGAAGGGAGTTTTCTGAGTCAAATCCATGATGCAACAATTCTCTTTTGACAGACATCCTTAATCCCTTTCCTTTTAAGACTGTGCCTGGAAAGTACCGTCCAAAGTTGACAGTATGGTTTGGATTGCAGCCTTAGGTAAATGCCTCACTAAAGACAAGCTGATTAGAAGAGGCATTACCATTGCTTCAGCTGATTGTGCTTTCTGCAGCTCAAATGCTGAGACAGCCGACCACCTTTTTCTACACTGCCTTATAAGCAGATCCATTTGGGTTCATGTTCTGGGTAACTTTCACCTGAACTGGGTTTTCTCCATTCCATCTCTGCTTTTTGGAGAGCTGGTGCTTGGAAGGTCTGTCCAGCAATGGGAAGACCCTATGGTACATGATTCCAGCTGCTATAATATGGCCTATTTGGATGGAAAAAGGAACAGCAGGGTGTTTGAAAACAAAGCCTTGCAAACTGATGGGATTATTCACAACATGGCTGCCAAGATTTTCTCTTGGGCTAAAGCTGTGCACATCACTACAGATTCTCTTCTTGTAATTAGTACACTCTCTGTAATGCTTTGATTATAATACAGATTATTGTGCTTGTACAGTCACATCTCTGGGAGTTTTATCCCTCCCAATTTTTGGGAATACAAATGTACTTTACCTTTTACTAAAAAAACGAGTTTTTTATTTATCCTACATTGCAAGCTTTTGTTATGTATGTATGTATGTAGCACCTAAAAACAGCAACAAGTACAAAACTACATATTTTCACCCATATTACAATTTTGTAACCCCACCACCTCCCATAAGCTTTCTCCTAAGTGTTCTCTCTTGACCTGAGAAAACTTGGGCAATATCAAAACTTAATCTGCCACAGATTTGCCAACAGCCACCACCAACTTGTCCGCCTTCCATTCCTTGTCTTCAAGTAATCTTTTATTCCTTTCCTTCCATATATTCCAGCAAATAGCAAATGGTAGACAGTTCCAGATTATTCTGGCCATCTTACCTCCTCTGATTCTTGGCCATGAGGAAAAATTTTCAGCAGGTGTCCTTGGCTGAAAATTTCTAACCCCAAAGAGTGCCATGAAGAGGTTCCGCAAGAATATATTTGTCTTGGACTGACTGGTTCATCACTTCATCCAAGTAAACATGTGAAGAACTGCATGGAAATAACTAAGCTAAGTTGAAGAATTTAGATGAGCTTGGTATTTTTCCATTTGCTGAATTGTTCGGCTCTCTTCAGATGAAACATTGATTGGACAAATATATATAAAGTAATGCAAGCCAGGAATGTAGGAAAAACCTTTTTAAAGCTGGCCTAATCTCATTCAAGTCTGATGAAAGGGTTCCTTATCTAATTTGGAATTCTGGATATCTAATGGATCACTATGAGCCATCATATCTTCGGTCTTTCCTAGCTTAAGATGATTAATTTATTCTGGATATGTGGAAATACCTATTTTTTATTTTATTGCCCTATAATTTAGGCTGATACATTGGAAATACCCAGTGTTTATTTTATTTCCCTTTAATTTAGGCTTTACTGCTGCAATATTTATTTCTGATGGATAGGGTTGTGATTGTAATTTGGCTATTTTAGGCACTTGAAGCTCCCAGGGAACCTCGCCGCCCTAAAGCTCATTGGGATCATGTTTTAGAGGAGATGGTTTGGTTGTCAAAGGCACGCATCTAGTTTTTATTGTTGCATCTTCTTGAGAATGATGTAATCTATGGAAATAATTTGTATCATATCATAATTCTTAATTATGCAGATAGATTATGCATGTGGGCATTATTTCTACATCTTGCTTACTATGCAACTGGTTGTCAGGACTTTGAGGCAGAAAGAAAATGGAAACTAGCTCAGGCAAAGAAGGTTGCAGTAAGAGCCAGCAAGAACATGCTGGACCAGGCTACAAGGGGCGAAAAGAAAGTGAAGGTTTGTTTTCTCAAACTAAAATATTATATAAAAATAAATAATAATAAAAATCTACAAAAAATGCCTTTAAAAAAGAATTCCAGAAAGTACTGCTAAAAAGTTAATCATTTATCTAATAAATTGAAGAAGAATAATTACCTACAAGATATAGAAAGATCTCTTGGACCCCCTTATACACATTATCTTATTTTTATGTGATATAGTCTTAAAGTTTAAAGATTGAAGCTGAATCAAGTTATTGTTTTCTCATTTTTATTGTTCTTTTGAAATTCAGGAAGAAGAGCAACGGTTGAGAAAAGTTGCACTCAATATATCGAAGGATGTAAAGAAATTCTGGATGAAAATAGAAAAGCTGGCAAGTTCATAGATATGATAATTTTATAACTCAATCAAATGCCAATGATTTCCATTCCTAGTCTGTTTTAATGAAGACTGTTACAAAATGTGATTTCAGGTTCTTTACAAGCATCAACTAGAACTAGAGGAGAAAAAGAAGAAGGCACTTGATAAGCAGCTTGATTTCCTTTTAGGACAGACTGAAAGGTAGAAAGCTAATTCCATTTCTTTTAAAGCTAAAAACAAATGTGGCATATTTATGAGAGCATGGGTTTCAAAAATTTACTGCATTGTGCAATATCAGCTGGTTGTGCATATTGTATAACCATGATATGACAATTGCTGAATTGTTTCAGGTACTCTACGATGCTTGCGGAAAATCTGGTGGACATGCCATTCCCGTGTAAATCAATGCGTGGTTCTGCATTAGAACATCCCCATAATCAAGATAAAGGAGGCAATGAAGACCTTACTGGAAGCACAAAGCACACTGATGGTAAGCATAACTTTATGTTTGTCTCATTCAATTTGATATGACTTTCTCAGAAAGCTTACACATTTTGAGCAGAACCCCTGTCAGAGAACATGGATGTTGATGGCGATTATGATATTAAATCTGAAGATGAATCAGTAAGTGTTTCTCTTCCATGCTTCTTCACTATTAATGATAAATTCTCCAACATCCTGGTAGTAACATGGATTTGAATGTATATGCATAAACATAATGAATCCATGTATATGTCAGACACCACTAATCTCACAAAACCAGATTCTGCTAGGGGCTTGTGGGTTTGGTGTCCCTTCTCTGATCTGGTTATGAAGAGAAAAAAACATAGCATCTGGGGCACTAGGGCAGTATTAAACTGTAAGGTTTGGTATAGACAAGGTCCTAATGTAGTCAGATCATTATCAATGTCTGATGCTGACATATACATTGACTAGCAACATCAAGTTGTAAATACTGTAAAATAAGAGAATGTATACCTAAAAATGAGGCAAAAAACCCACCTGCAAGACTCAAATGTACCAACTTGTTCCAACAGGCCATCTTAGCTTTTCTGCCATTACTTCAATCTACCAAAGTTGTCTATGTTTTATCTTCTCCATTTTCACTCACTTGAATAGATTTCTCAATTGAAACCAAGCACCATATCAACTCCATTTCTTCATTCACCTGGTCCTTCTCATGCCCAGTCCTATTAGTTTATTAGATGGGTTGTTCTCAGGATTTCTAATGCCATTGTTTTGGATTATAGCTTATAGGTACAGGCTAAACTGTTTCAAAACATTATATATACAACTTACAATATAAAAATTGTGTATTCAAAATCAAAACCAAAGTTCATTCATTAAATTTTAGCAACAAGCCAAGTGAGGTGTTCAATGCAATAAGAACCTTGCCCATGAGCCTAAGTGTGCATGATGCAGACCTTTTTTACACTGGAACCAATACATTTGGATTGTCTTGAGTATATCTTGATCAATGTTTTAAAACGTAGAGACATGATGTGAGGCATTTCACTTTCTAGAGGTGTGAGGTATAGTTCAGAATGTAAGAGGTGGAGGGCTCCTTAGGAGGAGGGGGTTGAGGAGGAAGAAGAGGGACGATCTTGTCTTTTTTGTTTCTTTTTTTTCTGAAAGATGTCTTGTATTAAGAAGAATGAAGATACATCAGCACCTATGGCATAGACATTAGGGGATTTTGGGGGCGCCTTGCTTGGAGGCACACCTCCAACTCCAAGCATATGCCTCCCATGCCTTTTAAAACATTTTTATTGATCAAGGTCTCATTATGTTTAGGTATGTAACTTACCCTCTTCCTAATTGTAAGTCCGAATCGTTGCATTGCTATGTTGTTGATGGCCTAGCAGTTACTAATGCTATTGATGCTTTCTATGCCTAGAAGCTCAACTTTTCTAACCAGTGATTGAAAAGGCATGCCTTGTGCACGACTAAGCACACAAGCAAGGCGTTTGCAACTTGCCTAGGCCCAAGCACAGCCCCTTTTAAAAAGTGTGCCTTGGTGTGCCCAAGTGTGCACCTTTTTTTTTTTTAAATTCAGCACTCCTTTTTGTACTTTTTAAGCATGCACCTAGGCCATGAAATAAAGAGATTGAAAGTTTTGCATATTTCAATTGTTGAGTACTGATGTGTTTTATATGTTTAATTTTATGTTTAGGTTTTTCACTTTGCATATGTTTTATATGTTATGCTTATGTATCTTAATTTGAGCTAATAGACTTTTTAAACCATATATTTTAAAATTTATGTATGCATTTTTCAACTAATATTGTTTTCATTATTTTTAATTTTTTTGCAACTTTTTGATTTTTGCATTTTATGTTTTTTTTTTTTATTTTTAAAAAACTTTGCTTCCAAAAGGTGTGCACCTCACCTTGTGCCTTGTGCCTAGAATGCAAAAAGCCCCTTCCACTTTTAAAACACTGTCCCTAACATCATTTCTATATTAGTCCCCAATCAACTAGACAATTGACATTGATTGCCTAATGGTTCTTCATCCTTTTGATGATGATACCCATCACCAAAATCTCAGGTTCATTAGCAGCCTCTTACTATTGCAGAATGCTCTTGTATGTATAACATGCTATTTGCAGCTATTTATGATGACTCCAATGACTCTGATTTCCTTGAATGGAGTAAGATGGTAATCAAGTTGGCCTAACCTACCCACGTCCCTTAAAATATCAAAGCAGTATTAAGAAACCTGGCAGTGGCTTCCTCATCATCTTAACGCTATTTTGATAAATCCATATCTACCATATATGTACCTAAAACAATAAATTTATCACATGTACAAAAGAAGTGTAAGATGGTAATCAAGTTTGACTTAAATTTGACTTGAAAATCAAATAATCCACACATAATGGCTCTTTAACCTCTACATATGATAGAAAATAAGTTCAAATCTGAAACTTTGGGATTCATAATTCAAATTGTGAATCCTATAGTAAATCATAAGATTTTGACAACATTGGTAACATGCTGTTCACAGTGCATGACACATCCAGTAATTGAATGACAGTGGCTTCCTCGCTATCAGCAAGACTTAAACAGTAACTATCATGGCCACCTCCCAATGTGAATAGAATCAAGATGAACTTTGATGGATACAGCTTAGAGAACCCATGACCCTTTGGATTAGTAGGAGTTTTCAGGAATTGGGAAGGAAACATCAAGGTTCAGTAGTCACAGACATGTAGTCTAGATTCTTTTCTAATTTTCTCAGAAAAAAATCCTTGAAAAAATTCATCCCCGTGATGAAAAAAGACTTGAAAAAATAACTGACTAAAGCTATAAATGTTGCTTCACCATGAAGTGGATTTATTTTCCATCTTGTGGAGACTTTCCATGCAGTGTCTGATATCACCTGTAACATATAGTGATATCAGAACTTATAATTTGATAAATGCAACCAAAAAGTAGAGATATGCAATCCCAAACGGCCAAACCCAAAGATTCGTTGAAGGCTCTGATACCAAATTGGAATCAATCTGGGGCTTAAGAGGGAGAAGCTAAACAATTTTAAAGAGTAGAAAGAGTTTGAGAAGAAGAGAGCCCTATTTGACTTGTTTTATTAGGTTGTGAAGAGAATAAAATAGAAAGTTACAATACTGCCCTTACAATATTATAGCACTAACATATCGAAACACTATTTATTATTGTTTTGGTGAAATTTCTTCACAAACTTGGCTGGAATCTATTTTTGAATAATGGAATTTTATTTTATTTTACTATCAGTTTGGGAGAGGGAGCGAAGAGGTGGTTTAAATGGTCTATTTGAGTTGGGCCAGGTATCTTAACACTGGTTCTAACCTGCTTTGCCTACTGCATTGTGGGTTTCCCAAATTACTTGTGCCCCTCAAATTAATTTTTCAACTTCTACTATATGCTCAAAGGCCTGTGAAATAATCTTCTCTAGATCAGCATATTTTGGTGTGGTGTTTTGTTATTGATATTCTCTTGTTCTTTGCATTTGGTGCTAGCTTAGAATGAAAATAAGGATTCTTTTATGCATTAATTTGTGACAGGAAGATGATGAACATACAATTGAGGAAGATGAGGCTCTCATTACAGAGGAAGAAAGGCAAGAAGAATTGAAAGCTTTGCAGGATGAAGTAGATCTACCACTTGAAGAGCTGCTAAAACGTTATGCCATGGGTAAATTTGAAGTGCATAATCTGGGCTATTTAATTGAGTGCCACTCATTTTGTAGCTTTATTTTGTCTCAACTCTGATCAGTATAAATATCTCCAGTTAGCAGAGAAGGAAGTCCAGAAGAAGGTGAAGCTGTAGCTGACCCAACCAAGGTGGAAGAAGGTCAGATTGAGGGTAAGAAGCACTTAGTGGCTTTGCTCTACAGAGTATGAACTTTCATATTCTTTGAACCAAGTGACTTGTTTGTTTCAATGCTTAAGATGACAGAAATAACTTGTTTCAGGAAAGAGGAGTTTTCCATCTATTGTTACTGAGATTGACACATGCAGCTCAGTTGCACTGGTCAGTCATCTTTGTGTATGTTCTTGGAATTTTAGTTTGTCACTGAACCGATTGCAGCATGCTTTCCTAAATCACCTCAATGTTCTCATTTCACAACAGGGAAAAAGTAGCGGTGACATTTCTGTATTGGATAATCACATCTCAAATATTGAGACACATGGAGCCAGTGTCGATCCAAAAGAATCCAGAAATTCAGACAAAGAGCATTCACCATCTGATTCCAATGATGAACAGGTAAGAAATGAGCCTCTTTTTAACTTTTTATGGTATTTTTTTACAAGTAATAAAGTGATTTATTAAGAATGATTAATATGAGTCAACAAAAATTACATAATAGAGATCCCACAGAGAGGTGCGAGATGAAAAACAACTTTTTTTGAGGGTAGAATTCTGCTGCTTCATGCTTTGGCATGATGAGTTGTGATGTTTGTTGGATTCTTTAATGTTCTGAGGTTGAAATTTTTAGAAGCCTGCAACATTATTCTATGATATTGGATGTGTATACCAGAAGCTTTTATGGATGGAAAGGAACAAATGTTATCTTGTAATGTTTTCTGTTATTACCCTATATTGTTTGAACCATGTAAAAGAGGAATAAAAGAAAAGGTATAGGTTATATAAACTTCTGTAACTAGTGAGCATTATGCCAGGACAACCATAATTAGTAATCCTTTTGATTGGTAACCATCAACTTTTGTTAGATGATTAAAAGAATGGAATAATTACAAAAATGATAAGCATCCCTTTAATAAGCTGACATAAGTCATATATCCTCCTCATCAAGTCTGCTGCGTTTCCTAATGATCTGATGTATTTCTTCTGTTTTAGGGTCCCTATTTCAATTTTAAGAGATTAGAGAAAGCCAAGGTATTTTTTTTTTATGTGGAAACATTGGGAACTAGAAAAGGGAACACCTCTTGAAGTGGGATACAGCTTGTCTGGGGATTTGGAAGTTATCCTAAGGAACACCTCACCAATAGGAAAATGGCTGTGGAATGTTCCTTTGGAGTCTTCAAGCAAGTAGATGCAATGCTAAGCTTGCAAGAATGATGGCCACACTAACTTCTCCATAGAAATTTTTGAGATTCATTAGATACAGCCTGACTTGTCTACCAAAAAAGAAAAAGATATGTGACTTGTAGGGACATGTAAAATTCTGGACAGACATTTGGTGAGGAGATGCTGCTTTCTGTCATAAATTTTTTACACTCTTTGCATTATCCAATTTTATAACTCTGCATTGCTTCTTGTGTCTCCACTAGGAAATATCCATCTTTATTTCTTTTTTGCATAATGCTTGCTTAGTATTATTAATTTACTTCTCATTTTGGTTCATATGCATCTGCACAGTAAATTTTTAGTTTTTTCCATGGACGAAAATGATTTCTGCTTTTAATAGTTAAAATTTGAACCATAGGAAATCCATTGTATTTGATTGACTGCATACATGTAGTTGCTCCTGACAACTACATATATGGACAAAAATGACAACCAATACTCTAGTTGCTCCTGACAACTGAGGTTGATGCAGGGTGACCACAAAAGTGACCAGTCTAAAACCAATAATAAGCATTTCTGTTTTAGTGTTCTCATTTTAATCATCTTTGAAATAAAATTCTTTTTGGGTTATTATCTTTGTGTTTGAATTCAAATGTAACCCTTTTCTTGAATGGTAGCTTTCAATTTAAGTCGTTGCCTTATTTTTATTTTTTTCAGGATGGTGATTATTTTCTTGCTTATGGAGAAGAGAAGGTACTATTAGATGAAGCTTATGAGTATGATTTATTTGCTTGTAAAAAGAATACTAAATTTATAATTTGACAATCATTTTCAATTGATATTTGCAATAACTTGTTGAAAAGTGTGTTCTGTATTGAATGCTGATATTATTTTGCTATTTTGTTGAAAAGGAAACTAACGCTTTCCCTTTTCCTGAGCAATATTGTCTTTATCATAATAGCTTCTGTCATGAACTTCCTTGCCAATCAAAATTTATAGGTCATTGACCTCATTATCAAGGTTCTGTGCTTGCACATTGAAATAGTAGTGGGCTAAGTTGTGAGGGAAAGGTTTTTTCTTTTTTTTTTTTTGGTAGTGACAGGGGAGAGTATGAATTTGTCACTGGACAAAACAGAATGGCTAAACAGGATTCAAGTAGCCCACCCCATGCTGATGGATTGTATGGAAGGTCTAAGATGTTCATTGTATGAAATAAAACTGCTTTTGATTAATGGTTTAATTGAGAGTTCTTGACAGCAATTAGAATAATTAGTAAGGACAATATTTTAGAGACAGAGAAGATATTGCACAAAAATGTATTGTAGAAACAAATTTCAGATAGAAGAAGAGAAAGTTGCATGTATTATGTGCTTCCAAACATAAAACCTAATCTAACTTTAATTTCAATAGGAAGGACTAATTTTAGATCTTATCAATGGATCAGCTAGTCCTTTTATCTATCAGTATTGATCAACCAGTTCTTAAAACCTATTTTAAATGATTGTTTGGCATGTAAGACATTTTATTACCCCCTTGCATGTTGTTAATTGATGGCCACAACTAAGATTAAGGTGGACAGCTGTTGGGTTGAACAACCAGGAAAGTGAGACAGGTAATTGAAGGTTCATTTCTGATCACAAATAAGAAAAAACAGCTATTAAAGTTGGGCTTCACAACATTTTTTTTCCCGGTCAATAGTTAACAACTTCACAATGGGGATTCACTTCTATACAGTCACTGATGAGCACAAAACTATTTACCACCATGGCACCATCTAATCATGGAAGCCACAGAAATGCCAATGAGTCCTAATGGTTGATTGTCAAAAATAATGGTTGGGCGATGGTTTCAAGTTAGGTCCATATCCAGTCTACTACTCCTGATGGCTGGGACCAACATGGATAATGTCCTTTATTGGGTACAATGAATGAATTTGTATGCTACCTACCATACGAAGATCTTAGTGCTTGGACAAGCAGTGATCACCCATTTAAACTTTTAAAGAATGTGCATGAAAACGAAGAATCAGATCATAATGCTTTAAACTTGAAGTGTAAATGTTATTACCTTTTGAGGATCTGATGTGAGAAATCAGATCAAGACTGTTTTGTTGAAGTGCTAAAGGAACTCAAGGATGTAATAATTGCTTTCCATCTGCAATGTCTTTAATATCTTTAAGAGGATCTTAATGTTCAGGAGTTGCTCATAGTAGCAACTAGCAAGGAATCAATGATCTAGAAATGGTAGAAATGGAACCCACCAAAAAACAGTCTAGAAATGGGGGAAGACCATGGTTCAATCGATACGCCTCTGTGTATCGGCAGAGGCGCATCGGTACTCAGATACACATGGAAATGGTATTTTTTTTTTAGTTTTTTTTTTTAAATTTGGTTTTTGGGGAGTTAAAAAGGAGTGGGGTCCCAAAACACCTGTAAACAGGCGTATCGGGACCCAAAAGATACGATACGATACGCCCAATATGGGGCGTACTGTATCAAAATTTTGAACCTTGGGGAAGACTTGAAAGAAGATATGCTTTAGAGTCCATAATGATGTTCGGCTTAGAGACTATCTCCTCTCCATAAATCTTCCTAAAATGTACTTGTATCCTCAGACCCAATGTTCAAACTTTGTAATGTATTTGCTACCGTTATGTTTTATTAGTTTGAGATCTGTTAAGAAATTCCTAACCATGTCAACTTGTATTTCTCCAATTTTTTTTTTTGTAATAAAAACCCGTTATTGATTAAGAAGGAAGGAATGTATGATTTGGCAAGTAGATTTTCAATTACTTTTGTGTTTTGTGGGGCATTTTGTTCTTGATCTCTCACTATTCCCTTATCCACTTAACTTTTGTCATATCTACATACTTTTAATGGAGCATTTTTTTTTTCAAGAAAAAAAATCAACAATGATAACTTCTTATGCAATAATCCCTTTTCCAAAATCTCTGACTGCTCTTAACCTGAATCTAAGGTCCAGGATGATGAGACAACCTTGTCTGAGGAAGAGGAGCTGGCAAAAGCAGATGCAAGTGACCCCTTAAATGAGGTAAAGAGTAAGCCAAGTCTAGTATTCAACTTATCTTTGTCACACATATACGGACACATATTGATTATTCTAATATTTGCATAATTTTATTTCCTCTTACCAGTGCTGTTGTTTTACAGATAGAGTTACTGCAAAAAGAGAGTGAAGTGCCAATAGAAGAATTGCTTGCAAGGTATAAAAAGGTAGGTAAGAATATTTCCTAGCAGTGCAGCTTCTGCTGTCTACATCCTGACCATGACTTCCCTTGTTTAATGTCCTTCTATTTGTCAGGATGTCAATACCGATGAAGATGCTTCTAATGAATCTGAGTATGCCTCTGCAAATGAGGATCTACTGGATTCTCCAGAACATGAAGATACTGAGCTAAAGAGGGTTGCTCCCATGAGTGAAGATGCTATTTCACAGCATGAAGATGATGAATTGAAGGATGCTGTGGATCCTGTTGCAAAAGAGTCAGAAGCAGGGCCTGACTTGAAAACTGAAGTAGAAAGGGAGAATGAGAACAGGATTGCTGATGCGGCTGCTGCAGCAAGATCAGCACAACCAACAGGGAATACTTTCTCAACAACCAAAGTACGTACAAAATTTCCTTTTCTTCTTAAGCATCCTCTTCGTGAGTACCAACATATTGGCCTGGATTGGCTTGTCACAATGTATGAGAAGAGACTTAATGGGATTTTAGCTGATGAGATGGGCCTAGGGAAGACAATTATGACGATTGCTCTCCTGGCACACCTAGCATGTGAAAAAGGAATATGGGGTCCCCATCTCATTGTGGTCCCAACTAGTGTCATGCTCAATTGGGAAACGGAATTTCTTAGATGGAGCCCTGCTTTTAAAATTCTAACATATTTTGGAAGCGCTAAAGAACGCAAGTCAAAGAGGCAAGGTTGGTTGAAGCCAAACTCCTTCCATGTGTGCATCACAACCTACAGACTTGTTATACAGGATTCTAAAGTTTTTAAGCGGAAGAAGTGGAAATATTTAATTCTAGATGAAGCCCATCTAATAAAGAACTGGAAGTCCCAGAGATGGCAAACCCTACTGAACTTCAACTCAAAGAGGCGAATTTTGTTGACTGGGACACCACTTCAGAATGATCTAATGGAACTATGGTCTCTAATGCATTTCTTGATGCCCCACATCTTTCAGTCTCACCAGGAATTCAAAGATTGGTTCTGTAATCCAATTTCAGGAATGGTAGAGGGACAAGAGAAGGTAAACAAAGAAGTTGTTGATCGCTTGCATAATGTGCTTCGCCCATTCATACTCAGGCGTTTGAAAAGGGATGTGGAGAAGCAACTTCCTAAGAAACATGAGCATGTCATATATTGCAGACTATCAAAGAGGCAGCGGAACTTGTACGAGGATTTTATCGCCAGCTCAGAAACACAAGCAACCCTGGCCAGTGCTAACTTCTTCGGGATGATCAGTGTTATAATGCAACTCCGTAAAGTCTGTAATCATCCAGACCTATTTGAGGGCCGTCCAATCATAAGTTCCTTTGACATGGCTGGCATTGACATGCAATTGAGTTCATCTGTTTGCATGATTCTTTCATCTGATCCATTCTCTTCTGTAGATCTAAAGGGGTTGTCTTTTATATTTACTCATTTGGATTTCAGCATGACATCTTGGGAGAGTGAGGAAGTTAAAGTTCTTGCTACCCCCTCAAGTTTAATCAAGGAGCGTTCCTGCCCAGAGAAAATTGGGTGTAGAATCAGACTTAATGATCACAAGAAAAGGACCCAGGGAAGTAATCTATTTGAAGAGATTCAAAAGGCTCTTTATGAGGAAAGACTGAAAGAAGCAAAAGAAAGAGCGGCATCCATTGCTTGGTGGAATTCCTTACAGTGCCGAAAAAGGCCCATGTATGGGACAAACCTTACAGATCTTCTCACAATAAGGCATCCGGTTTTTGATATCCATCATCAGAAGAATAATCCTTCTTGCTACTTGAACTTCCCTTCAAAGTTGGCTGATATTATCTTGTCGCCAGTTGAACGCCTCCAGAGGATGATAAACCTCGTTGAAAGCTTCATGTTTGCAATCCCAGCAGCACGGGCCCTGTCACCTTCCAGCTGGTGCAGCAAAACTGGGTCCCCTGTGTTCATGCACCAATCTTACAAGGAAAATTGCTCTGAAGTCTTGTCGCCACTTCTAACACCAATTTGGCCTGCTATTGTACGACGGAAAGTTTATTTCCCTGACAGGCGTCTTATACAATTTGACTGTGGTAAGCTGCAGGAGCTTGCTGTCTTGCTTAGGCGGTTGAGATCAGAAGGCCACCGTGCATTAATATTCACTCAAATGACAAAGATGCTTGACATATTGGAAGCTTTCATCAACTTGTATGGCTACACTTACATGCGCTTAGATGGATCTACTCAGCCAGAAGAGAGGCAAACATTGATGCAGAGGTTTAATACAAATCCCAAAATCTTTCTTTTCATATTGTCAACCCGTAGTGGAGGTGTTGGTATCAACTTAGTTGGAGCAGATACAGTTATTTTCTATGACAGTGACTGGAATCCTGCTATGGACCAGCAAGCTCAAGATCGATGCCATAGGATTGGCCAGACACGTGAAGTACATATCTATCGGCTAATCAGTGAAAGCACCATTGAGGAGAACATTTTGAAGAAGGCAAATCAGAAGCGTGCGCTTGATGATCTAGTTATACAGAGTGGAAGCTACAACACCGAATTCTTCAAGAAACTTGACCCAATGGAATTGTTTTCAGGTCATAGAATAGTTCCTGTCAAGAAAGAAAGAAATTCTAACAGTGAAATGGAGGATTTTCTATCAAATGCAGATGTAGAAGCTGCTTTGAAATATGCAGAAGATGAAGCGGATTATATGGCGCTAAAGAAAGTTGAGCAGGAAGAGGCTGTGGACAACCAGGAGTTCACAGAAGAGGCTATTGGGAGACTGGAAGATGATGAGTTTGTGTATGAAGATGACATGAAAGTTGATGAGAGGATTGCTGGAGATCAGAGTGGCTGGGTTAGTATTGTAAATAAAGATGGTGGGGTCACCATGAATGGAAATGATCAACAAGAAGAGAGAACCCTCACTTTGGCTAGTAGGGAAGAAGATGTTGACATGCTAGCTGATGTCAAGCAGATGGCAGCCGCAGCTGCGGCAGCAGGGCAAGCAAGTTCATCCTTTGAGAATCATCTCCGGCCAATAGATCGATATGCAATGCGTTTTCTTGATTTATGGGATCCTGTAGTAGACAAATCTGTGATAGAATCTGAAGCATTTGAGGAGGCAGAATGGGAGCTGGATCGTATTGAGAAGTTTAAGGATGATATGGAAGCTGAGATTGATGATGACGATGAACCATTCTTATATGAAAGTAAGTAACATTTAAGATGTTGTAAATTTGTTTATGTGAAATTATGACTAATAGCTGTGAGAATGTGTGTGTGTGTGTGTGTGTGTTTAACTCAGTATGTGGACCTAGTGAATTTTCTGCCTATACTGTAAGAGAAATGAATGCCCATCTTCTGGATTTAAATACCATTGGATGTGTGTTACATTTATTTTAGAACTCTGTCAGCAAACATTATAAGATTTGTACTTTGAGATCTAGGTTTTAATTCATGGATGTCCTACTATTTAGGATGGGATGCCGATTTTGCAACAGAGGCATACCGGCAGCAGGTTGAGGCCTTGGCTCTGCGTCAGGTTTGTAGTTTTATTATTATGGTATGCTCTTTGCGACAATTGTAGCTCTATTTGTGTATTTGACTAAGTGGTTATTTGCTTCACAGTTGATGGAAAAACAGGAATCTGAAGCTAAAGAGGCAGAAGAGGCAGAAGATAAAAACCTGGAGTCTGTGAAGTAAGACAACAACCAGAAATTTGTATATAAATTCCTTAAAGATATGTTTTCTAGAGATTTTATTGGACTATTTAGTGAAGGTTTTAAAGAGAAAAGAAAGAAAATCTTAGAAAAATCTTCTTTGAAATATGAACATAAAGACCCTTTTAGAGTTTGCCAATTCTACTGTTTTTTGTTAGGAAAATATATTAATGCACTTTGTTGTCAGACCATGAGTTGTTCATGTGTTTTCTTTGTTTTTCTTAGAACTTTCTGATAGATCAATTCATTTTTTGTAGATCGAACTAGTGACAAAGCTTAGATCAGTTATCATGTTAGATTTCAATCTGTGCCTCACTAGGTTCTCAAGTTGTCTGCATACTTCTTCAGTTTCTCATTATTCATACAAATTAAGGATCATCTTTGCACTTTCCAATTTCAAAATTTTGATTGATATATCAAGAGCAACCCTGCTGCAATGCTTATACATTGTGCTTAGGAAAGTGCAGTTTGGTATAAAAGGAAAAACTGGATTAAGGTACTTCTGCTACTTGAAGTTTAACTCCATAGCCAGAAAGAGACTCCCTAGTAAAGGAATAGAATGATAACTTTCCTGTTTAGTGATTCAAAAATGGATTTATTTATCCCTTTTCTATGGGCAGGAATGAGGCGTCTGCTGAAAAACGCAAGTCAAAGAAGAAAAGCAAGAAAGCAAAATTCAAATCTCTGAAAAAGGGGGCCCTGGCATCTGAATCAGAGGATTTCCATGAGGAACCACCAGCGGAGCCCATGTCCATTGATGATGATATCTGCCCTGAGGTTGTTACATCAGACATTTCACCACCACATTCTCCTATTCAGAAAAAACGTAAGAAGGCCCGAGCAACGCCTGAGGTAGAAGAAGAGACTATGACAAAGAAAAGTTCCAAGAAACTCAAGAAATCTGTTCCTGAAATTAGTCCTGTTGATTCCTGCACTCTGGATAAACAGCTTGATGAAAATAAAGAATCAAAAGCAGGTGAGAATGTGGTTGTTGATCTTGATATCAAGCCACCAAATAGGAGCAAGATGGGAGGAAAAATCTCTATAACTCCCATGCCAGTAAAGCGGGTTTTGGTAATCAAACCAGAAAAGATAAAGAAAAAAGGAATTTGGTCAAGAGATTGTGTTCCATCACCAGATCCTTGGTCTTCACAGGAAGATGCGATATTGTGTGCAATTGTTCATGAGTATAATACACACTGGAGTTTGGTCAGTGACACATTGTATGGGATGACTGCTGGTGGGTTTTATAGGGGGAGGTTTCGCCATCCTGCCCATTGTTGTGAGAGGTATAGAGAACTTTTTCAAAAATATGTTTTAGCTTCAACAGACAATGCTAATAATGAAAAGATGAGCAACACTGGCTCTGGAAAGGCCCTCCTCAAAGTAACAGAGGTAATTCTAAATTCCAAAACACTCTCATTTCTCCTCATTCATTCCTTGTTGGTGATCTAGATATAGGTACTTGCTTCTCATCATTCAAAATAAATAACAGATATGGCCCTTAATTAGATTGAATGATGGAATAGGATTCATGTAGCTGGCCCCAAATAATAGGGATCAAGCTTTGCTAGCTATATCTGGTTGCCATTAAATATATTCAATGAGAAACATTGAAACTTATCTGTTACTTTTAAGCTAAGATAGGGTTCAATACGGTTCATAAACTTACATGTTGATTTGAAATGACAGGGACACCAATACGGTTCATAAACTTTCATTTCAATTGACAAGAAGTGCAAACAAAAGATTAAAAAAAATAGTATGGAGTTTTGTTTGATTGAAACTCTTGGTATGCAACATTTGTGTATCGAGAGTATCAATACTTTGAATCTTGCTTAGAAGCCTCGGAAGGAGCTCTTAGGGATACTATCGAGAGTATCAATACCTAAATCTTGAAGAACCAGCACCATGAAGAAAAGTTGACATCAACACAAAAGAAAACTGTGGAAAAGGCAATATTTTATTCCAACTCTTGTCCTCCTTTATAGCAACAATATAAACCTTATATAGACTTATTTCCTAAATTTTAAGATTCCTAATTGCCTTTCATCTCATGGTTAGACTAACTTCAGATCTAACCAGGATTCCTAAAAAATTATAATGATTGACTTCTTGATGAATTACAACTTTGATACAAATTTTTAGGACTTACAATTTCTAAAACAATTACCTATTAAATCCTAAAACAACTAGATGTCTATCTTAAATCATGTGATTTTGGATTTCATGTCCAAATTGAACATAATTGTTTCATGTCCAAATCATGTGATTTTTGACTAATTGGATATGTTACTGAATAAACTTTCTGTTGGCATAAAAAGATTCAATTCATGAATTCAGGGTATCTTGAAGGAAGATAGACCTATTAATTATGTTATTACTAATAAAAAATGATGGACCTATTAATTGCATCTCTAAAAAAGGAGAAAATCCTTTAACTCTAATTTTAGAGAAATAAACTTAACCAATAAGATTATTGCATTCTTCTTAATTTCAGAACTCTTGTGATGAGAATTCTAACATGACTTTATTTTAGGTTTGAGAAGATGGGGTATAAAGAATCCAAATCTGATATGAGTACTAAGATTTAGGTATTCAAAATATTGATTCACTGTAATAAGATTTAGATTGTAATTGTATTATATAATTTCCTGAAATTATGTAATTTTTTAATTCAAATTTATTAAGTAGGAGATTTAATGATAGCACATGGATTTGAATTCCAACTCTTCCAGTGTGGACTTGACTTACACTATCAGTCCCAAGAATAGATAAAGGAGGGCTGTGTTGGCAGCCTGAACTAAAACTTTTGCCAAACTCTCATGGTCAAGGATCCTGATTTGTCTCTCCATGAAGCAGGATTCATGTAGCTGATCCCATATAGTTGGGACAAGGCTTAGATGATGTTGATAATGGTGATACAGATTGTAACCATCTTTTGTTTTGACGGAAGCTCTCCCTCTTTTAGTATAATCTCATTTACTTTTCAGACAACAAAAGCCGGAGATTTTAAGATTTTTATAATATCAGCCTAATTTGGTTAATTAGGCAATAAGCAATGACCTCCATAACATGTTTGCAATCAGTCTAGGTAAATCTAAACTAGACCTGTTCATAGGCCCAGCCCGTTCTAAGTTGGGTTGGGCATGATTTTAGGCCTGCAGACTTGGGCTTTGTCGAAAAAGCCCAGCCCGAGCCTGAGCCCGGCTTGATAATATTATATTAAATAATAAAAACATTTTTATTAAATAAAAATTATATATAAAATATTTTTTCTTTGTTCCTCTTCTTTTTTTTTATAGTGAGATCTTTTATTATTTTTGAGCTTTGAGGGATTTTAATATAAATAAAACACTTTTTTATTGAATAAAAAAAGAAAACAAATCTGTTCTCAAATTTCTGGCTGGGCTTGGGCTCAGGCCTGACTGTATTCTGTTGATACATAGACAAAGCCTGGCCCGGCCCAGCCCGTGAACAGGTCTAATCTAAACCAGGCTGTAGGTGAATAACCTTTTTAAGTGCTTCTCTGAGTCTAATTAATTTTAACAAATATGTATTAGAGAGCAAGAACAAGAGAGGGATTATTGCAAGAGGGAAGAAATTTCTTAATAAGGTACTCGCTTGTACAGAACTATAAAAAGAAAGGGTATGCACCTGCACAATAGATGTATTATGTGCAAATCTAACAAAGAACGTTAGTGAACTACCTTTTTTCTTTTTTGTTTTCTCTTTCTCGTTGTTTTTTGACCTAAGCATTTCCTTTATATTGGAAGAGCTTAGAAGCTGGGTGTCTCTATGTGATGTTTGTAGAGATGTTTTTTGTTCTGGTTTTTTTTTGAGGGTGGACTTTTTTTTTGGGGGGGGGTGTCCTAATTTTGGTCTTACTTGTACAGCTTCTCATTGTACAGGACCTTATACTTTTGATACTAATGCAATACTTTTCTTAAAAAAAAAATCTTTTATTTGGGAGTTTTATTACTTCCTCTTCTATCTGCCTTGGGTCCACCGAACTCCATGGAGGAAGTCATCTTTTCTTGTCCGATTTGATCATTGGGAAATAATGAGCTATGGATCGTTTTGCTATTTTCTATGTAATTTGGCAATAAAGAAATAATAAAAAATTTGACAGCCATGAGAGGCCTTTGGGGTGTGTGTACATGAAGATGTTGGGAATATCTTTGTTGACTAGGCACTGGCTCTTAATCATTTCAAAACTTGCAATTTTAGATCTGTTTTATGATGGGGAATGTGTTCTGGATGCAAGGGGTGGTATGATAAAGTCTTTATGGGTATGGACTTTTTCTGAATCTTCACTCGTAAAACATTAACAAGAAATAGTGAGGATAAGAAATAAGAAACCTCCAACACCAATTCATGTCTTCAATTTTCCCCTTAAATTTCACACATTGTCTTCTCAAAATTCAATTTTGATGGTTCTTTCTATGATCTTTCTTTATAAACCTCACTTTAGGCCCTGAAACTGGCAATTAGCAACATTTAACCCATATGGACACTCAAATAGGAGTTTAGCTATTCAAATCATTTAACCCACTAACAATCTTATTACAAGCAAATAAACTAAAGAGGACCCCGTGATAGATATGAAAAAAGTTAGACTGTATTCCTTTCTCCCATTGACACTTGTAGTAATGGCATAGTTTTCAAGGTGCCTAGGTGAAGCTAGGTAAAAGGGGGACGCCTTGTTACCTAGTCGCCTAGGTGGACTTTTTAAGTAAAAAAATATATATATCGTAGGGTAGCTCCCTAGGTTCCATAACCATATTTCCTTAATAATTATCCATAATTTTCATAAAAAAAGTATAAACTTCATGCTAAAGTATAGAAAATCAAGATATTCATGAGAAGAAAAAGAAAGAAAAGAAAATTCAAAAAAAAAATATAGGGCCTATTTTTGTTATAGGAAAAGAAAAAACAGAAAAGGTGGAAGAATGTGGTGATTAGACAAAATTTTAGGTTAAAGTATCCATAATTTTCATAAAAAAGGTATAAACTTCATGTTAAAGTATAGAAAATCAACATATTCATGAGAAGAAAAAGAAAGAAAAGAAAATTCAAAAAAATATAGGGCCTATTTTTGTTATAGGAAAAGAAGAAAAGAAAAGGTGGAAGAATGTGGTGATTAGACAAAATTTTAGGTTCTTCCTTTCTTATTTTTTATTGGAAACGGTAACTTCATTAATACAAAATTAAGTACAACTTTCAACCCCTAAACAGGTGTTTGAGTCCCCAGGTAGTTCTATATTTCACCAAGGATCAAAATTTCATCATGTATCAGCCAATATTATCGTATCAGGGCCTTCCCGATACACCCCTACAGGGGATGTATCGGGTCAGTCCATGGTTCAGAGGGTAGCCGGGACTTAAACCAACCCCTCTGAATCGGTTTTGAAAAAAATAAAACACAAAAAAAGCACCGATACAGGCCAATATGCCCGGCTTATCGGCCTGTATTGATATTTAGAACCTTGCTTTTCACATTCTTTTCTTATCACTATGTATATAACTGAATTAAATAGGTTGATAGATTCATCTTTTCTCTTCTAAACCAAGAAACCTCTCCTTGTCATTGCCCCCCCCCCCCCCCYCGTCTAATTTCTAGGTTGGTATTGGAATAAGGACTCATTGTTAGTAAGTTGGAAACACAGCTGACCTGGTAAAAAAAAAAAAGATCAACCTGGACAGTTGAGCCACTAAACCGTTTGAACTGTTCACCAATCATGATTCAAGCCAATTAACTAAAACCTTGGCTTGATTTTAGTAAAATTATTATTATTATTATTATTATCATTATTATTTAATCAATAACTGAGCATTTACTAATGCAAATTAATAGGTACATATTACAAGGATTAATGAGAGAGCTAACATGGTTTTATCTCCCCATACGGCTGTCCTTACAAGTGTGCCTAAAATTAAAGGCATGAAATATATTAACATATTAACTATTTTCTCAATAAAATTAAAGACAAAAGTCAAAATATATATTAAAGATATATTAACAGAAAAAAAAAGAAAAAAAGTAATTGTTGCCACTTCTGCCACAGCCACTCTCTCAACCTATTTCCTTCTCTCCCTCTTTATTAACATAGGATTGTTATGATCCCAATCTAATAGTTGTAGACTTGTAGTGTTATCGTGGGTTTAATTTGACCTGGATGTTTGAACTGTCAACCCACAACCTAATTTATTTGGCCACTGGTTCAGGTTTTAAAACATCAGTCAAAACTATTAGGGGTTATTGTTCTTTTTTCCTGCCGATCTTGCTAGCCCAGAATCCTGCAGACATCAGCAGTTGTATGGGCAGCCTGCAGCTTTTGAAGGACATAAGATTTCAGTAGTACATAAATTTTAGGGGTTTTAATGAGAAAACTCGACTGACCAATCAAAAAAATGAAAAAATAACCCTCATTGATTTGAATCAGTTTGATGTTTTTTACATGAACTTCTGTGAGAAAAAAAATAAAGTCAGATCGAGTTGTGCAAGTACAATAATGAATCATCTTTGCTGGTGAATGGGATTAGAAGACTTTAGATCATGGGACTCTTTCTTTTCTGATCCAAAAAATCAAGTCTCAGCATTTTAGGTGTATTGAATCTGATTGGAAGTCTTAGGTTATGTTTGGTTTGAAGGAAAAGATAGGGAAAGGAAGGGAAAGGGAGGAAACCTATACAAGGTTTGTAAAGGTTTCTTTATCTTTCCTTTCCTTTCCCTACTTTTTCCTTCAAACCAAACACACCATTAGTATAGAAATTTCAACCAAAAAAATAAAGCTTCAGCATAGTTTTCAAGGCGCCAAGGCGAGGCTAGGTGACCATGGGGTGCCCAGGCGCCTAGGCGATGGAATTTAAAAATAAGGCTTGCCGATGGATTTCTACCCCTTCTGAACTAGTTTGTTTTTTTTTTGGTTTTATGTATTCTGCACTTACTTTGTGCTTGTATATCTTAAAGTGTTGCTTCAAGTAGGCAAAACAATATATTAGAGTTGCAACTTGCAAGTTAGAAGTTAGAACTAGAAAGAACTGAAGGGGGTGGAGCCCCTATTTTAGATCAACAATACATAGGGAACAAATACTAAAATAAAAGAAGAAAATGAAGAAGAAAAGTAGGGGGCGGAGCCCCTGTTCTAGACCCAGAAAAGCTGGTGAAGAAATATTAAAATAAAAGAAGAAATATAAAGAAAAGAAGGGGCGGAGCCCCTGTTTCAGAAACCAATGATGAGAACAAAAAAAAAAAAAAAAGCTGAAAAATGCAAGAAATTAAGAGCAAAAAAATGGGGCGGAGCCCCTGTTCTAGACCCAGAAAAGCTGGTGAAAAAAATACTAAAATAAAAGAAGAATATGAAGAATAATAGAAGGGGTGGAGCCCCTGTTCCGCCCTGTTTCAGACACCAATAATGAGGAAAAAAAACTGAAAACATGCAAGAAGTTTAAGAACAAAAGAAGCGGGCGGAGCCCCTGTTTTAGTCCAATAAAATGATTCAAAAAACATGGAGAAAAGATACAAAAAGGAAGAGGAGAAAAACAGGGCGTAACCACTGTTTTAAACCAGGAAACAGAGAACAAAACTAAGAAGAAGAAGAAGACTGATAACCCACCTTAACTTTGGAGGACTGTGTGGGAACAATAAGAAGAAGAAGAAGAAGAAGAAGAAGAAGAAGAAGAAAACTGATAACTCACCTTGACTTTGGAGGACTGTGTGGGAACAATGGAGGGCTGTTGTTCTCTCCTCTTCCTCAGTTTGATTCATTTGTCAAAGTGAAACCCTTGAAGATTAATTTTGTTTTTACTTTCCGCACAAGCAGCACAACATGATAACATGCAACAGGTTCTATTATAAAAACTAAAACAACCAATAAAATATTATATATTTTGTATTTATTTTTATTTAATAAATATTTATATATTATATATTTGCTTTAGCCCCCTAAGCATGTGCCTAACATAGTTTTTTGTGGCGTTTGGGCGAGGCGTTCTTTGAAAAGTGCCTAGTTGCCTAGGCATCGCCTTGACAACTATGGCTTCAGGTGTTTTGAGGTTGATAATAAATCTCAAATTCCTATTGATGCCGATTTAAGATTTTTATCTTTTATTGATTGTTATACATCAAAGAAAAATATTATAGATTTTTTTACATATTTGGATGTCATTTTCTTAGGTTTTAACGTGCAGTTGTACATGTTTTAACATTTCTCATAGATTTGCTTGTTAATACTTTAAATTTCCCTATTTCTTAAATTTTTCCTTTTTGTAAGAAAAGGTAAAGTATTGTATTAGACTGAACAAAAATATACAAAGCCTTGTTCAATAAGTTACTGTGCAGGGGCCAACAACCAAACTTTGCAAATTGATTACATTGAGGACCTAGATACAAATTGTAAGTGGAATTTTACAAGATTTCCCCGTTGTACATGGCGGAATACCCATTGAAACCAAAACTTTGAACTATGTGTATATTTGACAGCGTAACTATATTTGTATATGTATGTCTTCATAAAAAAGAAGGTGCACATGTATATATTTCAATTTTGTGATTTGAATGCAATGTGCACGTATGCAATTCAGACGCATTGGTTGGGCTTAGATAGCCTTGTGTTTGATACTGCACTTAATCAGTATAACATGGATTCTATAGGTATATAATGAAAGAATTCAGAAAAACATGGACTATTCAGAAAAACATGTCCACAAGTTCTTGCTTTTTCATCTTGCAGAGTTAAACTCCCAGCCAATTGCTAGATTCTGCTTCCCATGCCTGTGTGTCTGTGTCCATGCAACGCTGCACTAAATTTTACATTGGTTAGACGTGGACACCTAATGTCAATAATACTGCACTTCTGCCTATCAGATTTTGAATGCTAGTTCCATGTGCCAGGAATTCTAGTTAGATGTGGGTGGAGGTCAATCTTTATTTTGTTGCAAACATGCAATCTTTTCAAGAAAGGGGAGAGTACTCATACTGGGAGTTTCTTGTGTGGCAGGAAAACATTCGCACACTATTAGATGTGGCCAGTGAGCTTCCAGATAATGAATTACTGCTTCAGAAGCACTTCACAGCCATGCTTTCTTCTGTATGGAGGGTGAGATCCCGCAGTGATCGCAGGCATAGTGTGTCACAGAGTGGCCTTTATTCTGGTGGAAGCTATTTGTCCTATACTCCCATCTATATCTCTGGGAGATTTACCAGGGAACCACCAGGGAGTATTAACCTTGCAATTGTAGGGCAGAATAGCAAGTTAGTAGCAGCTGCCCTCCATGATGCTAATAGCAAACAACAGGATGACCTGGTATTTCCTTCAGATCAAAGAGATGAAACTATGGCAACATCTGAGCAGCTAGAGGTAACATTGGAATTCCAGGGTGACGGTGATGATTGCTCAACACCTTTGCCACCATTTCTTCATCTGTCGATATGTGGCTTAAATTCACCACCTTTAGCAGATGATCAGGCAGTAGGAAAAGTGTTTCTAGGTTCTTCCCATGACATAGCAGAGGACCGTTTCAGGTATGGGTTTGTAACTGTTTCAATTTCTTTCAATCGTTAAAATTTGTAGATAATTTCATAATTTAATTGAAGATTCGAGCCTTGGTAGGGTGGACTAATGAGGCAGGATTTGTGCTGGAAACCAAATAGATTTGATAAAGCTTTGTTGAGTTGAACTTGAACTCCAGTATTTTAAGTTCAGTTTATCTACCATGAGGGGATAATCATGTGATCTGGTCACTCAACCTCCATTTTTTAACCTGTCATTCAGCTGGTCACATCCCTGCTTCAGATCAACCTCTAACCTGCTTACAAAAGCCTATTGACTAGTCGAATGGTTAACCGCCCGGGTCAGCGGTTTTCTGACCAAAATCAACGGCTTTTGGGAATGACCTGTCAACCGAGGCAGTTCTGCCATTGACCTGTCTGAACCATTCAGTGGGTTACTTGGTTTTTATAATTTCATTTTGAAATGTTTGTATTAATGACATATTGGGCTGACCCATTGACCTGGATGATTAAAGCACTGATATGTTGATCCCGAGGGAAAAATGGTTAAACCTCTGGACTAGGTTTCAAAACACTGCCCACTCTTGATCAAACTAACGAAGTTAGTTAAATAGTTTCATCTGTTTAACCATTTCTTATATTTGTTTGTGACACATTCTTGGAGGTTGGAGGAATGAATGTATTCATGCAACTTTGGTGTGCTGGTACTTGGGGCTCATACTGGACTTTGAGCTGGTTTGGCCTTTAGACATATATACATTGTTAACTTGTCTGCCATCTGCTCATGACTACTGAAATAACAATCTTGTTTGTTTAATTTGGACTGGCACCCATGAGAATGCAGGTATGAGTCTGGGGGCAGCCTGCGGCCACTTTTGCTATAAAAAAAAACAAGCAAACAAACAAAGGTTAGGACTGTACCCAGTCTACCTCTCCCAAGACCCTATATAGCTTGGGACCAACATTAGGCAATGGCCTTTTTTATGGTAAAAGTTAATTGAACTGGGTAGGACCATGCCTGGATCCCCATTCTATGGAATCATAATCCTATTTAAATGAATATGGAGTGCAGACGTACTTGCATTTTGGCTTTTGAAGTTGCCTTATCTGTCATCATGTGAATAAAGTCCCTTGGTATTTTATCTGATTGAATTTTATGAAATTTACTGAGTTTTGTATAATTTATCACTCAGGGTGGCTTCAAGAGCTTGCATTGAAGGTGAAGCTCATGTTTGGGCTGTGTCAGCTTTCCCAACATGTGATGTTAGATCTAGATCCATGTCAAAACCACAGTACTTGGGCAAGCACAAGGCCTCCAACATGGACTCCACCAAGCCGTCTAAATTCAAGATTCAAAGAACAATAGAGCATGGCGAAGAAGATCACCAGATCCGCAAACCACCACTTCCTTCACCCAGAAAAGTTGCTTTTGATTCTGTTAATCTGCCAGTCCCCACCACTGAAGCCACTGAAGACAGTGATAGCAGTGGCTATCTGCATTTTGGCATTGATGACAATCTAGTTCCAGAGATGGAGGGTCTTGCATCAGTTCCGTATCACTATGACCCAGGTTTCATCTCAGACCTCGATGATTGTACATTGCCTGAAACTGTCGACATTGGGTAAGGATACCTCTGAGACGTGGACCCTCGGGATATTCTTATCATGCAGCTTGGCATATTTTGGGGGAAATCTGGTCACTAGGTTGTTGGAACCTCAGAACTGATCGGTGCTGTAGCCCATAAATTCTAGGACACGGGTGGTGATCAGGAATGCCATTGAATTGAGATACACGTTCTAGTTCTGGTTGGTGCAGCAATCAGTTAGCCTTCACAACTGCCCTGTCTGTAATTGGGAATGCGGTCTGGTCAACCAATTGTGCATTCTTTTTGAGACAATCCAGGCAGTTCGTCTATGGCTCATCTCTGTTAACGTGTGAGAAATGGGTGAAATTGGGGCGGGTATGAACAGGAAGATGTATAGCATATCTGCAGGAGGGTGCATGGATATATGGTATTTCCCTAAATTATTTTTTTCACAGGGAAATCTCATTTTCTGTAAATCAGTATCTTTTTTATAGGCTTATTTTTCCTTAAAAAAAAAGGAAAAGAAGAAAACAGAGGGAAAATGAGTACGGAAATTATTTGAGTTTCTTGCTTATTGGATCCTAATGGAATTAATTGATATTTCCATTTCTTAACCAAAGTCATCCAAACTGAGAACTACAGCTTTCAAAATTGACCTGATCATATCCAAACTAGTCTAGGTCTTTCCTTGTTGTGGGTATGGACTAGTTTCGACCATTTGTGACAGACAAGAATTGGAGTTTGTAAGAACTGGGTTTAGCACCAACTTAAACTGGAAATCTTATGCGCGGAAGCATTTTTATTTGTTTTCCTGTTGCTTCTATTAACTGGGCAAATTTAGAAGGCTGATCCACATTGCAAGTATCAAAGAACGTTAGAAGTATTCTTTATTCCTATGGCTCTGGTGAAATATACAGTTACATAGCAGATGCCTTCACCGGTGGTCCATTATGTTGGTTTTCTTTCTCAATCAAAACCTTCCTAGAAGGATTTATATGCTCTAATGAGATCAGCTGTTAGTTGAATCCTAGGCATTCTATCATGCGAATTATATAGAAACAACAAAGTGAGTGCCCGATGACGTTCTTCTCATATGTATTGTGGGGTGACATGGCCAACCTGTGTAGAAAAGACATTGCCTATGTTAATGTTTTCACCATATCCATGCATTTGAAAAGTGTGTTCTAATACATCTCTTAAACTTTGCCTTTTTGCTATAATACCAATATTTTGAATTTTGGGATAACAGTTGAAGCCTACAAATCCCCAAACTCAAGTAGGGATGAAACTTGGGCAGGCTCTTATGGTGGAGATCGAGGATGAAAGAATAATCAAACCAAAATGACCTCCTATGGTGGAGACCTAGCAATAACGCAAACTTCACAATCAACTCCGTGTCTCTGTCACTTGGCTCCAATGCAGCCCAAATAGAGAGGATGAAAGAATAGTGAGAGTTACAAAAAAATAATTTATAAGAAAATTGAGAATCCAACCAAACCTAAAAATATTCATGTACTCCTTAGCATGAAAAAGCTCCCCACAAAGAAAGGCTATAGGTTCGAGGGTGCAATATATTATAGACCCCAGTTATCTGGTGGGCATGGATGAAGAAGAATCTGCATTGGTCTTGCGCCTGGTTGAACACCAACTCGGGCCCAAAACAAAGAGGATGTGATTACATGGTTTGAAAGAATAATGAAAAGCTTGAATGGTGAAAAGTGGTATGCATTCTATGGAACATATGGAATCAATGTAATCAATGCGTCTTCCGGAAAAGGAGACCAAAACTAAATCCCGCCCGTCTCACTGAGAATGCAGCGGTAGGTCTTAGAGACTGTCAAGATATAGCTTAATGGATGAAAATATGGACAACATGAGACCAGATAACATGCCAACAAAATATGTTCCAACATCCTACCAACATCATCTGACACCATACATCTCATACATGACAGATCCCACTTTTATGGTGGGCCCCAGTTTTACAGTGTGATATGCAGTGTCACTGTATCAGATCAAGTTGGTAGGGTGTTGGAACGTGTTTTGTTAGCAGGAGATCCCACATAGTAATTCATCCTGATTCTGATTAGATGGAAGCCTCCCCAACTCCATCAAACATAAATCAACTTCAATGCTTCCATAAAAAATAGGATGGAGGCCTCTATAGCGAGTCAGGATCACCTGCCCACGCCTACCCACAATACATTACCCCCCGTGAATTAGGAATATCTCCCCCTACATAATACTATGCAGAGGATGAGATGTTCTCCATGTGTGGCTCCGCTAAACATGAACAGAGTTCTCGTGGGCAGGAGATCCGGACTCCTCTATAGCCAGGGTAGATGGAAACTGTTTAGGAAACACAATCAAATAGAACTCAAAAAATATAATATGGTGTGATAGGGCAAGCCCCAAACCGGGACATATATGATCAGGTCCGGGGTGTGGGCCGGTCCAAGCCCGGACATATATATCAGGTCCTGGGTGTAGGCAGAGCCGGTCTGGGCCCAACCCATGATCGTCATCCCTATGTTTATGCTAAGCCCATCCCTATATATAGGGAGAGGCCTATGCTTATATTTAGGGCCTGGAGTGTGGGCTAAGCTGGGCCTAGGCTTATTACTGGTGCTAAGCCCAGACCTAAAATGTGTAAAACCAAGCCTTGTCTTCCATTCATGCCCAAGATGCAGGCTGGGCTGGGCCCACTTCCAAGCTTGCCCCGTATAATAGGTACTAGGCCAAGCCCAGTCTGGGTGATGATCACCCACACTACGAATAGGGGTGCAAATCAGGCTGGGTTAGGTCTACTGATTTCCTAGACTCTAAGACTGTTTGGTTTGAAGGAAAAGGTAGGGAAAGGAAGGGAAAGATAGGGAAACCTATATAAAGGTTTCCTTACCTTTCATTTTCTTTCCCTACCTTTTCCTTCAAACCAAACATAGCCTAAGGGTCCATGTTAATTCAATATTAGCATTATTATGTGTAAGAGAGCATGGGTTAAAAGAAATTACCTCTAAACTTAAAATTTTTTACATACAATATGCATGCATACATGTATAGATAGATAAATATATATATATATATGTATATACATAAATACATAATGCTTACAATGAAAAAATATAGATATATACATTTATGGATGCATAGTTGCATATAAATATATGCATGAATAATGAATAAGCATCCATAAGTATTTACATGCATAAATATATTTATATAATATCTATATATGCAAATATAAAGTTAAGTCAGATTTGGGTCGGGCTAATCAAGCTTCAACCCTAATCCAACCCAAAGTTAAGTCAGGTTAATACTTTTCCCCTAACCTTAACCTGAACTTCAACTCAGCCCTACTTTTTCCGAACTGATACCATGTGGGTTCATGGTTACCAATCTGCAACCCTAATATATATATATATATATATATTGCTTGTATGTATTCAACTAACGTTAGAAATTCATTCCTCAAGACTTGTTGTCCAACCAGTTTTCTTAGATAAGACTAACAAATAAATTATTTCAAATACAATGTACAAAACTACAAGGTAGAATATCATACTCGTTGCCCAACATAATGGCCCAATTTAAGACATTCCATTAACTCTGGCAGGACAGGTACAGGTTGTCCGGGATGGATTGCACTTGAGCCTTTGTCCTACTGGGTGGGCCCGGGACATGGAAGGGTCAGGCCCAATTATTTCTCATACTTACTTCAATCCCTCTTTGGACAAGTGGGTTTTACAAACAAATTTACTTTCCAAAAGAAGGGCACCACCAGCTCACTTTAAGGCATCCCATTAAACAATATAGTCTGTGGCTTGAGCAAGTTTGGCAGAGTCAGGCCCAATTAATTGCAGACTTAGGCTGCAATTGGCATTCCGAGTGTGCCACATGTTCAGATGCACGATTTTGTGCTTCCTGTGTGTGGGGCTAACAGGACAGTCGTTAGCTCGCTCTGTTAGCTCCAAAATGAGCCCAAACCCCATTTTCACTATTCCTGCTCTTACCCTTACTCGAGCCTGAGAAGCGAGAACCCCTGAACCCATTCTTCTCCATCTATCCGAGCTCGGATTCAGCTCCCTCTCTGGCACCGGCATGAGCTCCGGCCACTTCACCGTCGCAAGGTGCTCTCCAATTCTCTCATATCTTTTACACTTTTTTAGGGTTTGATTTTATTTGACATTTTTTTTTTTTCATTTCAAGACAGAGGAAGTGAGTTTAATCACCCACCACCGGCCATCTCTGGCAACCACCGGCAAGTGCATATCAGGTGGTGAGCTTTTCTTTTCTCTCTCTTTTTCACAATATGGCTCAAATGTGATGTTTCACAAAACAAATTAGTGTTTCTAACATGCACAAACATACCTGAGTGCACCCAAACAGATTAAGCACTTTCAATTATGCACTTGCCGGTGGTTGCCAGAGATGGCCGGTGGTTGCCAGAGATGGCCGGTGGTGGGTGATTAAACTCACTTCCTCTGTCTTGAAATGAAAAAATAAATAAATATCAAACCCTAAAAAAAGAGTGTGAAAGATATGAGAGAGTTGGAGAGCACCTCGCAACAGTGAAGTGGCCGGAGCCCTCGCCGGTGCTAGAGAGAGAGCTGAATCTGAGCTCGGATGGATGGAGTAGAAGTGTAGAACGGAATTCAGGGGGTTCTCGCTTCTTAGGCTCGAGTCTCGGAGTGAGGGCAGGAGCAAGAATAGCGAAATGGGGTTTGGGCTCGTTTTTGGAGATAATGGGACGAGCTAACAGCTGTCCTATTAGCCCCACACGCGGGAAGCACAAAATCGTGCATCTGGACATGTGGCGCACTCCTGTCGTGTGGGGCATTTGTGGGGTGCTGGGTGGTGGGGCGCAGATTATTGAGGCATTTTAATTGCTAAAAGAATTACAAGGAATGAGAAATGCAGCCTTACTTCAGCTCCTCTTTTAGACAAGTAAAAGGGATTCTACTAATTTTGGTTTTCAAGAATAGACGTTGTTAAAACCGTGCATCCATTGAACAAGTTGGCACGGTCAAGCCCAATTAATTTCAAGACTTCACTTCAGTCCTTTATGGTTTGTTTGGTTGCGATGAGAAGTAGGGCTGTTCATAAGAATGCCCAACCCGACCAACCCGGACTGATTCAACCCGAGTCGGCCGGATTTTCATCAGTATCGGGCGGTTTCGGGTTGGGCAAATATATAAATCGATATATCGGGTTGGTTTCGGTTTTCTTGTGTGAAAACTGAAACCAACCCGACCCGAACCGAACTAGTCTTCTACTAGTTCGGTAGTTTCTAGTTTGAGTAATTTTCTACTTAACTATAACTAGTCTTCTATTAGAACTAGAAGGCCCATTAGGCAATTACAATTAGAATTGGCAATCTATCATAGTTTCTAACTTTCTATAGTCTTTTACACCAAATAGGCAACCCATTAGGCAATTACAATTAGAATTCAATTAGGTGTCTTTTTGTACAGGAGCAAAACCGAAACCGACCCAACCCGACTCAAACCGATTAGGTCGGTTTGGCCTATCAGTGGGTCGGTTTCGATTTCCACCTCAAGTAACCCGACCAGGTCGGGTCGGATGGGAAAACCCCAATAAACCGACCCAACCCGACCCGTGAACACCCCTAATGAGAAGGAAAAAAAAATAGTTTTTCAATTTTGTTGCATTTGTTTGGTTGTTGAGACTAATTATCCTATCAAACCTGCTTCCTAGTGTTTGGTTGTTGAGACTTGAAACCAATTATCCTATCAAACTTGCTTCCTAGTGTTTGGTTGCTGAAAAAAGAGGAGCCTATATTTGTTACTGGTCAATTAGAGGTTTAGAGTCGAGAGCAAACCCTATAATCCAATGAGATGAGAACTCAGAAGCAGCCCTAGAAATCTAAAATGAGAAGTTGTAGTTGATTAGAGAGGTTTTAGAGAAACATGCCTCTCAATTTGGAAAAAAAAAAAAAAAACTGATATTATCATTTTTAAGGATTCAGGATAGGAATGGCAATTTTCCCCATTTCCCCAATCTCCATGGGGATCTGCCTCAAATGGGATAAGGATGGGGACGACTTTCCCCTTGTAGGGACAGGGATGGGAAAATTTTCATCCCCGTTAGCAGGGATGGGGAGAGCACTCCCTACCCCACTGAGACCTCAACCCTCGTCCCATGAAATCCCCACTAATATATATGTATATATGTATGCGTACGTTATATATGTATATATATACACATGTGTCTATATATTAATATTTTAAAAATATGGTTAAATATATTTAAATCTTTTTTATTAGGATTATAAATTTGAATTATTTAATTTTTATTTTTTAAATAAAATAAAAAATAAAAATAAAATGATTAATATGGAGAATGGGGATTCCTGTGAGGACGGGGACAGGGATGGGGATTTTCACAGGGACGCCCGTTGCCATTCCTAATTCAGGAGAAGCTGAAGTTGACACTGTTTCTTTTGGAAACGGAAAGAGTAATCGCCGTTCGTTCCAGATAAGAAGTCTGCATGCTTTCTTCCGATAACCAAGCAAATCCATCGTTATCGGCTCCAGGAAAAGAAGACACCTTGTCTTCCTTCGATAAGTAAGCGGAGCAGCCATTGTCAGCTCCTGAAGAAGAAGCCATTGTATTGTCTTCTAGTTATGAGAAAGCGCAACCGCCGTTAGCTTCCGAAGGGGAAACTACTGTCCTCTTCTGGCAACCAAATAGCTCCATTGTATTTAGAAGAAGGAGCTACTATACCTAACAGGCCTTAGAAGGAGATGAAGGTTTCTCCATACCTTCGCTGGAGATTCCCTCGATAAATTTGTCCCATAATATTATCGCAGTGCTTTTGTTTCTCGGTGGGGTGGCACCTATTTGGTGAGACCCGATATCCCACTTTTTGAAAAGAGAATTATCGTTACATCCCATTATTTCGTCTAAAACAAACGTGAGAAAATAGTAAAGAGTTTGGATTTTTTTACTTTTTTTTTCTCCTACACTTCCACTCAGTTTTGACTGTGTCCTGTATACTCTTGTATAGGTATTTACATACGTCTAATGGGACACTTGTCACATGTTGATTTTATGTGCATGAAAAATGTAAGAAAAGAAATGTGCAGGAGATATGATTCCTTTTACTGGTTTTGAAAACCAGAGCGGGTCAGACAGTTAGATAATCAGTTCTGCTTCACCCTAAAAGTGTTTTTTGGCCAAAAATCATTGATTTGGTCAGTAATCTGCTGACTGGAACAGTTGAACTATTGACCCATCGACTCAAATAACAGTTTTTCGCTTTTTTATTTTATTTATTTATTAATTTTTAAATCAGAACAAACCATCCGTTTGAATTAGATGGTTGGACCGTTCGACCTAGGAACCAATCCCAAAAACGGTTCCATAAAACCTTACTTTTACTAACTGGAATTCTGCAAGTTACATATCTCTGCACATTTCTCCGTAAAGCTGAAAGTCTAAATGAATAATCTAAAATAGGGTTGATATCATTTTGTTTTGGGGCCCATCTCAGGCTTGAGAATTTTAAGAATCTTGTAAAACCTAGCCCACGTTCAGATTATTTACATCCTTGGTTCAGGTGATTTATCTAGGCAAGGTTTAAAATTTTGATACGATCATATCGTACCTTTGAAAAAAAGATACGGGATACGCATGGAAATCAGGCATTTCATCTTTTTTCATGTGTATTGGGGGCATATCAAGGGTGTATCGGGGCGTTTCAACGAAAAAGATATGGCCAAAAACTTTATAAAAAAAATTAAAGGGGGAAAGCAAGCTTATTTTCCCCGAAATAAGCGTTCTTTCACCCCCAAATGACTCTAAAACTCCAAATTTCATTCATAGTGTTAGATTTGCAAAAGTTTGCAAGAAACAAGTGTGAATCGTTAATTTTTTTTAAAGATTTTTCTAATTTTGAAAAAATATGGCAAAAATAAGTAACTTTTTTTTCAATTTTTTATAATATCTTGTGGTTTCTTTTTTCTTGAATGTTTAAATATATGTTGATCTACATTTCTTACATTCAAAATGATAATTTTTTGCGTTATCAGTAGATTTATGGAAATTTCAAGAAGATATTTGGGGAAAATACAAATTAACAAAAAAATTGAAAATATAATTTTTTATCTTCCTATAAAGATTAAATATGTTTTAGATCTATGAATTTATTTATCATGTCCATAGAGCAATTGAAATTTCTTCTTTACTTTTTATTTTTTATATTTCTAGAATTAAAAAATAAATAATAATTAATTATATTTTATCATTTGATCACAACAATTGATTATATTATAATTCTATGGATGATCTATCATATCCACAAACCGATTAAAATTTCTTCTTTAATAATTATTTTTTTTATTTTATTTTTTAGAATTAAAAATAATTAATTAATTAATTATATTTATCGTTTGATCACAATGATTGAAAATATTATAATTCTATGGATGATCTATCATATCCACAAATGAATTGAAATTTCTTCTTTAATAACTATTTTTGAATATATTATATAATGTTTATTTATTTTTTTATAATTTTTGAAAATAAATAATAATTATTAATTATACTTTCACATGGGAGTTGTGCCAATGCATGTTTTATGGTTGGATAGGATATTTGGGTTTTTCCCATCCCATAAAACATTAAAACTTAAGAATTATAATTTATAAATTATAGTTAAGCATAGGATTTTTAATGAAATTACAATTAACTACAATATATTTCTTCACCAAACTATTAAAATATATTAATTTAATATATATACACCTCAATGAGGTCTTATGCTTAGTGTTGTTGATGTATTTTTATGATTTATTAAAGTATTTATAATGTTTCGAAGCATATCTATGCGTATCTTAGTTTTTCCCCAATACGCACGATGTATCTGATATGTCTATTAAAATTGTCTTTCTGATACATTTGACGTTTTCGATACTTTGGACCTTGTATCTAAGAAGGCCAGTGAGACCAATTCCAGGTGGAAATTAATCTCTTCTAAAAGGGCCTTCTCACAAAGGGTAAGGCTATGGTTCGAATAATATTAATGTATAGAAGGACTGTGATACAAATATTGCAAAGCTATTCTGATTTTGCCATTACATTGTAACGATGCCTCCTTACCTTGCAGCACTCAATTGAGAATGTGGACCCTAAAGATGGAACCATTCAAAGGGGTTCTTCTCAGCATCTCTCCAAATGTCAAGCAGCCAACAAAGGGCAGAGTGAGATGTTTGCAACTTTCCCTCTAGAGTTCATTTCCACGGACTAAATATTTTGTATCTTTTAAAACAACCAAACACTCCTAATTCCTAAAGTGGCAACCTCTCCAACAAAAACACTTTTGAAAAGCCATCGGATTGTGTGGAAAGCTCATCTACACAATAGGTCTAATTAACCTCATCCAACCGGCTAGATTTAGGGATGACAATTTCTACTCTATTAGTGGGTATCTGCCCCTCCTCGATGGGGTAGGTATTGTTTATTATTTAAGAATGGGTTATGAGTTGGAAGCGGGTTTTAGGATTTTACAATCTGTATAGATACGAATAGGGTATGGTATTAGGCTAAATTAAACCCTCCCTAACCTGTATATTGAAATGCACTAAAATACCCCCAGTGCTTATAGTAATTTATGTGTTTTTTACATGTTTCAATCAAGTAATTGAAAATTTTAAAGTTCGTTAATGTTATTTTGCTTGTTTGCTGTTTATATATAATAGGAAATTAGATGCTGATTCTAGACCCAATCCATCAATCTGATTTTACATTTTCATATATAAAAAGGGTTTGGA